AAAAACACTAACCATACATTTCGCCACATACTCACATTCACCAGCGGTTCAGTGTGCAAACCAACCCAGAGCCCCTCGTGATAAAATCTCTGCAGACCCAAGGCGCTTGTGTGATTGGTCGTTCTCACCTTGTGTACGTCAATGACGCAGCGTACTGGAAGCTGATTGGCTGTCTAAAAGGTAGAGGAAAGACGCCTGTAAATGCTACTTGTGAGTGAGTGAGTGACGTGACATGTGGCCAAGTATGGTGTCCCATACTCGGAATTAGTGCTCTGCATTTATCCCATCCAAAGTGTGTGTGCGCACGCACACACACACACACACACCCGGAGCAGCCATTTTTTTGCAGTTGGGGGTTCGGTGCCTTGCTCAAGGGTACCTCAGTAGTGGTATTGAAGGTGGGAGAGAGCCAGGTTTGGGTTACGAGTCCAACTCTCTAACCATTAGGCCACAACTTCCTTGTAGTCGGCGCTGCTTCTGTGCATTCATTGTACATAAGGGATCAATTTATCACAATGAGCTTACAACTTGTACAAAATAAGAATACGGTATTGCAACTCATAAAAAAAAATAAATAAATAAATATTGAAGAGATTCCAATAACAACAGATAGATAGATAGATAGATAGATAGATAGATTCAATAATTTGAATTTAAAATAATTAAAAATGAATATAAATGGGTTTGTACCCCATGGAACTAATCTGACAACTAATCTGACACTTATAGCGACAACATGAAGGTATGTGCAACTACCGCTATTGATGTATAGTATTTTATGTGGTAAATCATTTCACGTTTAATTCTTTTTAGGAGGAATAGTTCGATTAGGATCCAGTGCGTTCAGTGCAGCCTGCGGGGCAACGTTCTTTGATGCTGCTGCTTTGTTGGCATTAGTTCCTGTGACTTAAAACTGCTCTTTGGCGTGTGTTTGCGCTGTGTATCGGCCTCCTCCGTTAGACCAGTTTTTCTATGTGCATTTGTTTTGTTTATTGCTGATTTATTTATTCTTGCTTTGTGTTTGTATTTGTTCTTTAGTCTGTATTTGCTTTTGTGTTGTTTCTTGTGTTTTTGTTTCTTATGGTTTAACCTTGTTTCAGTGTGATTTTGCTTTATCTATATTTCTTTTTGCTCTGCTTGACCTGGGTTTGTTTGTATTTTTTTATTCTTTACTTTATTGGTATGTTTATATGAAATTGTAGGGAACATCTACCTCGATTTGATGAGACATTTTTAACCTCATAGCAGGTG